CCAGGACATGAAGGGGTCCTCAGATCCCAGTGAGTTGAACACAGGTGCAGAGCATTTTCAGAGAATGTTTATCCCTAGGAAACGAAAGAGATGGATTATAAATTCAGGAATTTTGCATGCTGGAGGTAAACTAGAGGTTACTGAAGAATCCTGAATTAAGAGACTCAAATCCCAGCTTAAGTTTACATCGCAGTTTTATGTTCTGCTTTATAAGATGAAAATACCTAATTGTCTAACCTTGGAGAAAGCCTAAAAGGATTAGTTCTCTGTGTTTTTTGATATTCCATGTTTCTGTTTGTATTCGGTTTAATTCTGTTTAACACTTTTACAGAATTATAAAAAGTAGCACTAATTTGTATAAGTAGTTTATTGCTCTACCTTGACGTTTATTTGTCACCTGTATTTGTTATATATTGAATCAATGACTTACATTCTTCTGACCCTAACAGGAAATGTATGATGACTACCCTTTGAGAATATAGCCTAGGAAGAAGAGACAAAAATGAGAGTTAACTTAAGAATTTATATTCTGTACATATTTATTGAGGATGCTTATTTAAAATAGACTATACATGAAGAAAGAGAAGACTCAGAGTCGGTAAAACATTAGGAAGTAAAACAAATCTTGACAAAGAAAATTACTGTCCATTGGGCCTTGAAAAAAATGTAATATTGAGAGCAGAATGTTAGAGGAAGTGGCATTATTAAAGGCCACAGGAGGCATGAGAACAGCTTGTGTGGGAGAGACCACCTCATCAGAGCATAGAGATGTTATCTGGACTGAGAACAGAACAGGTTGGTGAGATAAGATGGGAACAGTTGATGGATAGAGGGACTTGGGTTCCTCACAGAGAAGTTTATGTTGATCCACAAGATTACATAAAGTTCTTAGACTGCCATAGTTTGAAAGCAGAGTTTTATAAAGAGGTGTTTACACAAAGTGATGTTCACAATGAAAGCAGAAGTGACCCTTCAGGATAGTCTTTAGATAGTCATGTCTGCTCTGTCATCCCTGATGTGTGGAATGTCTGAGGAAGAACTGTCAGGACTCGATGAATAGAATGTTGGCACAATAGAAGAAAATTAAAGCTGAGAGCCATATAACCCTGGCAGTGGTGTTATCTCTCTTACACCTGGATAATTTGGAAGGTGGCATTGTTTGCATCAAAAAATCATGACCACAGACCTGGACTAATTGAATTTATGGTGCCAGGGCTTCAATAAGTTTGGAATGTAGACCTTGAGGAAAAATCATATTTGAGAGACTACAGACCGATGCAGTTGAACAAAATACACATCATAAAGGCACCACCATGCTTTCTTAAAACAGAATGATCAGAGTTGTTTAGGTGTATCTTTTACCCTAGTGAAATCACAGTGCCAACTGGCACCATCACTTTTTTGCAGCTTTAAAAAAAAAAAAAAGACAGCTGATTTTTAGAAACTTTGTTCAAATATTTGCAATTATTCAGGATCCTCCTCGGATCCTTTGATATTCAAATGATTCTTTTTTGAAACCTGTCATCTGCCTTTTCTAATTCAGGAAGGCCTGCCTCTCCTAGTTGTTACCTGCTGGTGACTTTGTTTGCACTGGATTCAGGAGTTCCATAGTGCCTATTTCACTGCATCCTGCATCTATCACCAGAGAAGACTTTGCAGTTGATTTGTGTTGTTGGTCTTGACTGTCACAGAGAGACTGGCAGAGACATTGACCCATGACCAAATGAGCTTCACACTGCTAAAGGATGATGAGCTAAGGAGGAAATAACCAACTGAAATAACCAGGCTTTGGGTGTCTCTCTGGTGATGATCTAATGCATGTTAGGCCTCTTAAAAATATTGCAGTATTACTGAGAATTTGCCTTCTTAAGCTCTGGTGCCAAGATTCTTAACTGAAAGGATTACTGGAGTTTACATTTTAATATCAAATTAATATTGTTGACTGCTAGCCAACAATCAGCCATACTTTTGTCCTAACTAAGAGTAATCACTTCAGCAAATTATGAACTGTCCTTTTTCTCTGTCTTTAAACACACATTTCTAAACTTAAAATAATATCATGTATTCTTGTCAAAACCCTCACATATCCTAAAAAAAAAAAAAAAAGTTCTAAGACAGATAACTTTCATCATTTTTAGGGTGCATCTTTGAAGGATATTCTCCATTCTTACCCCAACCAAAGGCTGTCTTCTACTTATAGGAGTCCTTTCTGTTGGCAGTATCCTTCCTTTGCTCTTCTCTGAATTCCCACTGCAAGTTCTCTTGATAATTTCCTGAGTATTAGTATTTCTGTACCGATCTGCAAACTTCCTGAAACTTGGAACTGGGTTCATTGCTCCTGGAGTTTGTTTGTTCTCCTATCACCTTTCTAGTCTTGATCATTGACTCATTAAAGGCCTTTCTTCCCTTAGGACCCATTTGCCTTTAACAGTGTGTTACTAAAATTTTATATTGTCTTGTTCTTAGTTCAGCTATCACATTCTATCATTGATTCTTTAAACTGTTCACATTGGAATTACTCTGTCTTGAGTTTTTAAAATAGGCTTTCTGCATATAGCCAAAGGGGATTTGATGCTGGAAACTGACAATATCATCAGTCAAAGGTAGCTTGTTAAAAGTTAGTTATTTGTTCTGATGATAAAATTAATATATGCCCTTTGAAAAACATAGACAAATAACAGAAAATAATGACACATGATCCTACTGTTCAGAAATAAGCAAACACTATTAACATTTTTATATATTTTCTTCTGTTTTTCCCTTATGCATGATGGAATGTTTTCATTTAATGTATGGTGGCATCTTCCTGTTTCAATACATATAAAGCTAGATCATCACCTTGAATTATCACATTGTACTCAATTGCATAAATATGCAATTAATTTTACCAACCTCAATAATTGACATTAGGAATGGTGATTTGCTCTTATACATTCCTACTATGATGAACATCCTGTACATATTTTAATTAGTTAACCCTATAATTTCCTAGAAGTTCTGGAAGGATGGGAGGTAGAGCAGAGGGTAAGCACTTTAAAAAATTTTTTTTTGTAATTTTAGATGGACACAATACTTTTATTTTGTTTCTTTATCTTTATGTGGTGCTGAGAATTGAACCCAGAGCCTCACACATATTAGGCAAGTGCTCTACCACTGAACCACAATCCCAGCCTGAGGGTGAGCACTTTGAAATGTTCACTTAAGTTACTCAAATGCCCCCAGAAGGTTAGTACCTATTTAGAGTCTCACCATCAGTACTTGATGTCCACATCACCCTCTTACCAAAGTCTGATCAGACTTAAATCTCTGCCAATCTGATAGCTGTCAGGTCTGTTTCCTGAATGCTGATGAAGTTAGATTTTTTTAACCATTTGTATTTCTTATCCTGTTAATATCCAGTTACTCATTTTTCTGGTCCATTGTTTCTCTTATTTATAAGAATGTTTTATAAGTAAAGCATATTTCATTTTTGTTATGAGTGTTACAGTATTTTCCCAAGCCATGTGTATTGGAAGGGATTTTTCTTAAAACATACAGAAATCCAAAAGTCTTATTGTAGACATTCTCCTTCATTGATGGTTTGAGACCTTGTGACTAGGAGAGACTGGACTTGCTCAGTGCTGTGTGGAGTACTTTCTATGATTGTGTCAGAGTTCAACATCTGCATTGGCTAATGCAGATTTTGCATGTGACAGCTGAGTTCTTGAAATGAAGCTAATGCAAGTAAGGAACTTAATTTTTTATTTTATTTTAGTTACTTTAAATAGCCACAAATGACAGGTGGCTGCCATATTGAGCCTCTCAGGACTAGGTCTTGAGGAGCATTTTTTACATTCTAAGGAGTTAGGACCTTTTTCCCCCAGTGAAAGAGAAGAATTGGAGTGGGGAGTTCCTCTAATAGCTGTCAAGTTTGGAAAGATCATGCTGGTGTAGAAGTTTTTGACCCTGTTGGGTACCAGAACTCTAACACTTGGTATCTTGCCAGCCCTTTCCCAGAGTCTGTGATGGTGGCAACATGGCCACTAAGCAGGCCTAAATCTGTCCCAACCCCCTACCCTAAAAAGCACTCATTCTGGAGGGGAAGACTATGCGAACAGGAGAAAGCACACACATAGAGAAGAGTATGGGCCTCACACTTGAATCCCAGCTCCACATTTTACACACTGACCTTAGGCAAGGTACTGAGCCTTTCTTCCTTGTCTTTAAAACTTCACAATTAGGGTACCTACCTACTATGCTGTTAGGAGGACTCAATATTTGCAAAACATTTGGATCAGGGACTGGCACTAATAAGCACTTATGTAGATACTTAATGAAGTAAATGTTAAGGAGACAAATCATGGAAGGGAGCTGGGTGGAGGGGGATGTTTGTCATTATTGCTTCCTGAGAAGATGACATTTGAGTAAAGACCTAAATGGGGTTAGAAAGTGAGCCTTAGAGCCATAAAATTCCAAGAAGAGGGAGCAGCAAGGTCAGAGAGCAAGAGTATCTGACATTTTGAAGCCCATCAGGGAAACAGTGTGTCTGGAATGCAATGAAAGGGGGCCAGTAGAGCAGGGGCCAGAGCCTGGAGGACTTTGGAGGTCAGAGTATAAAGCCTTTGACTTTAAAAGGGTGGGAGCCACTAGAGGATTTTGAGTACAGGAATAATATTATCAGGGTCCTGAATGGAGCAGTGAGTGGGTTATCAGCTGCAGAGGAAGAATCTGTGCCTGAGGGTAGGGGGGAAACATTGGCAAGTCTCTGAGTGAGACAGCACATGAAACAAGAACCTATCCTTGTTGAAGGTGATGAAGAAAAGGAACGGGTTTTAGAAAGGCTGAAGTTAAAGAAATGGAAGGAATCTAGAAGAAATTGGGTCTGGAAGATGAAGTAGAGGCGGGGTCACAACTCTGTTTTCTGATTTGAGCAGGTAGGGGTAGTTGAGATCAGCTGTGCAGGGGAGGAGCAGGTGGAGAGGAGAGAGGATGGGGATGGCAGTTTAGAAGTTCAGAAATGCTTCACTGTCTGTGCCACATTCAGATGGAAATGTCTTGGTGCTGAAGATCTATATCGCAGCTCAGAAGAGCTGGTGGAGGAAGCTTTACAGATCAGGTGAATGCAGCCGCATCGAGGCTGATCAGGAACAGTGATTAAGTTGGAAGGGAGTGGACAGAACCTAGGGCTTGCCAAAGCAAACAGCAGTGGCAGAGCACCCTCCCAAAGGAGTATTCAGGAGCTTCAAAGCCCTCTAGAGAAGACTGAAGTCTTAGGAGGCCAGAAGGGGAAAACCAGTGCCCCAGAAAGACTTGGAAATATCCCCTAGCTTCAGCAACCTGATAGGAGGCCCTGGCTAGATGCCGCTGGCTTCTCTGTGCTGTGTGGTGTGGGAGCTGGAGGAGGAGCAAAAATGGTGAAAGGGTCAGAGGACCAACTTGGGAAGAGCATCTGTGTGGCACTTTGTATAAAAGGGAAGTATGATAGATATCTATCAAGTGAATGGTTATTTCCAATTCCCATTTACTTAATCATTCTGCATACCTCCTACCTCCTCAGATTCCCCCTGACATTCAGCACAACAAGACATTTAAATGTCATTAAATGACATTAAACAGGTCTTAAGACCTATTTGATAACCCAATATTTGGGGGGTTCCAGAGATCCTTAGTACTACCAAGTGCCAGACTATAATCATCTCTTGATTAAGTCCTGCATCCCTGACAGCATGAAATTAGAAGTATGTTGCTCAAAATAAATACTTGCAACCCTTTCAGCACAAGGATCACATATCAGAATCTGTGTGGCTGGATTGAAGTGTGCCCTTGACAGCATAGACGTTTCCTTTGATGGCACTGTCTTTCTCATTTCTGAAACAGAAGGGCGCTAACTAGACGAGGACCTCAGCACTGTCTGTGTGAGCAGCACCAACTCCACAGCATTGCCTTGGAGCTGGCCTTTCGGCATGGGGAGGTGAGTGATGGGCTAATGGCCGTCTTGAAACTGAGATTTGGGTGCCAAAAAAACAAGAGGGAGAGGGTTGGGGCTGTAGCTCAGTGGTAGAGCACTTGCCTAGCATATGTGAGCCACTGGGTTTGGTCCTCAGCACCACATAAAAATAAATAATTAAAAAAAAGTATTGTGTCCATCCACAATTAAAAAGAAACTATTTAAAAAAGGGGGGCTGAGGCTGTGGCTCAGTGGTAGAGCGCTCGCCTAGCACGTGCAAGACCCTGGGTTCTATCCTCAGCACCGCATAAAAATAAATAAAGATATTGTGTCCAACTACCACTAGGAAAAATAAATAAATAAATTTTTTTTTAAAATGAAAAAAACAAGAGAGAGAAAGAAATATAAATCCCAAGAGAAACAGGTTCAGAGTTTGACACCTTTATTCTTTCAGGGCCCAGTAGGTGAAGGAAAGTGATACTGTAGGAAGGTAGTTGCCATGGAGTGGCCAGATCCCTGTGGAGTCAAGAAACTACAAATGGAAAAGGCATTGAGTTGGCATGCTGCCTCCCCCTCAGTGAGGAAGTTGAATCCATAAGTACTCTCAAAGTGAACAGTGTAGAAATTAAATATGAACTAATAAAATTTATCCTACAGGTATTGAGAGTTTTTACAAAAAGCCTAATAGTAGTTCTAGAATGAGCCTCTCCTTCCTCACATAAACTAAAATGTTTCCTATTTACTAAAATGTTTCAAAAGAATCTTTCTAAAAACAGGTCATAACACCTTTATTGACTTTGTTATGAGGAGGTGTTAAAGAATCTGTTTATCATTAGGCCTCTGGGAGAAATTTGCCTTGGAATTCCCTGTGAGGGAAATCTTACTTCCCTCAGCTACTTACACATCATAGAGAGTCTCCTGGATTGGTCTGCTCACATTTGCAGGCTTAGCTGACAGCATGCTCACGACAGACATTTCAATTCCCTCATTTTCCTTTGGTTTCATAATTTTTAAACTGACTTCATTATCATTTTATGTATTTATCTGATTGAACACTTAAGTTTGTTTTTTGGGGGGAACAGAGCAGGGTAGAATTAAAATCTCCACAATGCTCTCAAGAAGAGGGGGACAGTACACCCAGTGTCGTTTACCATCTGGGCCTAATTCTCATGCATATCATTTTTTAATAACATGTCTGCAGTAAGACAGCAACATGGAATGTGCTGGTATACAGACACCAACAGGCAGGCAAGTAGGAGGAGCTCCAGCTGGACATCTACCCATAGGATCAGTGCAGGGGAGGGGAGGCCTCTTTGAAGCATATTGCTTTAAAATCTGTTTTTTGGAATTTCAGGATCGGCATCTCCTGCCTTTTTCCTGCTTCTTGGCATTTTAGCATCTCTCCAGTAGGTTGTCCTCGAATTCTGAATACCAATTTACGCCAAATTATTGTCCTTAGCATCCTGGCTGCTTCTGTCTCACTTTTATACTTTTCTGTCATCATAATCCGAAATAAGTATGGGCGGCTATCCAGAGACAAGAAACTTCAAAGGTAAGAGATGAAAACATCTTTTTTCTAGAAGAGATGCCATACCTTCTGGCTGACCTTGTTCAGGCTACTATAACAGAATACTGTAGACCTCATAAACAACAGAAATTTAAATTTATTTTTCATAGTTCTAGAGGATAAGATATACAAGATAAGGTGCCAGCAGCCTTGATGTTGAGGGCCTGATTCCCAGTTCATAGATGGCACCTTCTTTATCCCTGCAAGATGAAAGTAGAGTGCATTCTCTGGGGTCTCCTCCTTTATTATTTCATCACCTCCCAGAGGGTAGTAGCACATTGGTGATTAGTTTTCAACAAATGAATTTGGGTGAAGACACAAGCATTCTAACTGGTAACATGCCATTTTAAGGCTTCAAGGCATTTGAGTTAGGTTGAAATGTAAGGGAAATGTGGCTATAGGACCTGGATTCTGTATAGATTCTGTACTGACTGCCACATGGCATGAAAAATTGAAATGTTTGAGAGTGGCTGCCTACTGACCACCCAACTGATGTTATAAGAGGAGTAGTTACTTAAACAAAAGCTTCTCCTCTATGATGTCTTAAGCCGATTTCTGAATTAGCATTTGTAGGTTGGGAATGATTTGCTTTTTGGAACCTGTATGAGCTTCTGTAGAGGAGTAAAGAGCACAGCCCTGGTATAGATATTTTTCAGAACCACTTGTTTTGTCTTCTTTTGGCTCATCGGCTGTCCATGCTGAGAATGCCACAGGAAACCGCACAGCTTAGAAATCAGGCGTGGTGCTTGGGTGCTACATTTTCTCTGTTACGTAGGTGTAGGATGACATTCTGTCTAAGAGCATGTGCATCTTCCTCATAAGGTACTTGGCACGAGTTACAGACATTGAAGCTACAGACACCAGTAATCCCAATGTGAACTATGGAATCGTGGTGGACTGTGGTAGCAGCGGGTCTCGGATATTTGTGTATTGCTGGCCACGGCACAATGGCAATCCTCGTGATCTGCTGGACATCAGACAGATGCGGGATAAAAACCGAAAGCCCGTGGTGATGAAAATAAAACCAGGTATGTGAATGAGAACCGCCTGGTTTAGCTCCTGCTCTCTCTGGTGCCTTCCATATCCTCCCCTTCTTTCCACCCTATCCTCGGCCTACTTCTGCGCTCACATCAGCACCCGACACCTCTCCTTGCTCACTCTCCTTCTCCTTCCTTTCTAGTTTGTACATGTGACTAACATCTTGATAAAACACCCAAAACCATGTCCTTCTGTGCCCTGTGGCGACTCCCTAGTGCCTCACTGGCCATGGCCACCCTCATACTTGCTGGTTGGCGTTCACTGCAGGACTGTTTACCCTGTTTGGTAGCCGTAGTCCGCCATCTTAATGACAAGGCCATTTCAGATAACTCGTGAGACAATATACTGCATGTACTTGTGATTTAAAAACTATTATCCAAACACTTCTAATGACTAGAACATAAAAGAGCTAACATAATTATGGGCAGTTTTTAAAGATACTTTTGTTTCTAAGCAATTTGCAAAACTCAAGGCCTGGCTTCCCATCAGATAATTTGAATCAGTGGTTCTCACTGTTTTCTTCATTGCACCATTTCCATGGGCAGCGGCCTTCTGTCAGGAGCATTCAGAATGAAACAATCAGGAGCGCCTGGGGGTGAACTTTTCTACAGTGGTGGTTAATAACATAGATTTTAAGTGGTGGACTGTAGATCTTAAGAGATACAGTGGCTTTTATTTCATCTTATCAATGTATTAAATGGCAAAATATTAAATCCAAACTATCCAAGGAACTTATCTTTAAAATATTAGAGAAACAGAAAGAAATGGTAAATGTTTAAGATGGAAATATTAATTACCCTGATTTGATCATTGCACATATGTATACATATCAAATGATTACACTATACCCCATAAAATGAAGGTTTATTACATATCAAGTAGAAAACTTAAAAAAAGAACATTGATAAATAATAACCATAGCTTCTTATCACCATTCCAGAAATATAAGTAATATTAGTATATTTCTGTGAGTGAAGATCAATTTTCCTTATAACTTGGTGAATGACTCAGATTTTAGTTTCCTATTTTCCTTCCCTTAAATTTGTAGCTGTTTCTAATCTAGAAACATTTTTAGGGCTAAAGTAATATTGATCAAATAAAAAATTCAGCAGAAGACTAAAACGTGGAACTGGGTAAAGCACTGTACGTTTTATCTAGCTTTGTATACCAGGTCCCATTAGCGATTCATCACTTCTTGTGGAATAAGATAAAAACTTTCATGCTTTTCTAAATAAAGGGACAGCTGCATCATCCCAGGGTGTACCCTGGACTCTTATTTAAATGAAACTTACTGTGGTTCTCTCTCACTCTGTGCAAAGTACTGCAGGTGTAAATCAGAATGCCTTTCTAAAGCACTTTTCATCTTGAAGCATGGACTCCCAGATACAGTAAGGATACGGCAAGATTCTAGAAATGTTCTTAATAGATCCTAGCTTGTTTGGGGCTTGGAGTCCATTGAAGTAGTATTCCATGTACAGTCAAAAAACTTGTCTGTTAGTCCATTTTCTCCTGATGCCTTTGATAAGTCACTTCATCTTTCTTAGTCCACAGTTTCTTAGTCTGTGAAATAAGCAATCTTTGGACTTCTAAAGTCTCCCTCATTTTGAATATTACCAGGCTCTGCATTAGGTGCTGAGAATATAAATTTGAACCAGACGTGCGCCTTTGAGAAACTTACAGTTGTAATGGGACAGGCAAGTAAGTAGGTAATTTCTATATGGTGCAGTGAGTGTATGACTGGCAGTACTGGTGAACTGCAGATATAATGAGAGCTTTCTCTGTTGGGGTTCTGTGGGCAAGACTTCTGAGGAGAAAGGAGCTGAGTGGACAAGCAGGAGTTAGCCAGGTGAGAGGGCAGGGAGAGGGAAGACTCTTCTGGCTGAAATGCAGAGGCCTAAGGCCAGAGTGTGGCATGTTACAGAACCGTTAACTCAGTGTAGCTGAAGGCAAAGGGAAGGAACTTGAGCAGAGGTGAGGATGGGTGAGCATTCTAGGGGTGGTGTGCTTCTCTAGAGTTGAGCTGTGTGGAGGAAACGGAACCACAGAGGCTTTGAAACCAGGAGGAAGCATTCCTCCAGCAGGGAATATTGGGGGACGGTGGAGACTGGAGTGTGTTGCACCAGACCACAGGGGGTAGTAGTGTCAAAAGAGACCAGGAGAAGTGAAGTAAAACGAGAGGAATTGAGGGGAGGTGTCTATGAAAACCATTGTGCTGGCTGGGGGCTGGAGAAGGATTTTCTCCAAGATCCTGGCTTGAGTTCTGAGGGGGGACACAGTGGCACAGGCATGTTCACAGTGGAATTTGAGTTTGGGTTGGATGTGTTGCCTTTGGGTGGCTGAGAGGATGAGCAGCCGTGACGGGCAGTGCACAGTTCGTTCATACTGACCAGAAGGATGGGAAAGAACTCTCAGGACTGGGGACAAGATTTGGAGACCGTGGCACATTGATGGTGCTAGCAGCCCTGGGAGTGGCAAGCTTGCCTGAGGAAAGGGGATGAGCTCTTGCCTGGGCCACTTAGTACATGCTCAGTCAGGTCTGTGCTCGTTGACAATGGAGGAGAGGGAATAGGGCTGAATGGATATTGCCATGGCAGCCAGGAAGAAAGGGGTAGGGCCCCCCGAGAGAGTGTAGATGTAGCTTGACCTTCTCCACCTTCGCCGCACTGAAGCTTGTCTTACTAAGATGCTCACCGCTAACTGGAGTGTCCTGTTTCCCAAGGCATCTCAGAGTTCGCTACCTCTCCAGAGAAAGTCAGCGATTACATTTCACCGCTTTTGAAGTTTGCTGCAGAGCATGTGCCAAGGGAAAAGCACAAAGAGACCCCACTCTACATTCTCTGCACTGCTGGGATGAGAGTCCTTCCAGAAAGGTGAGCCTGCACCAGAGGACCAGGCAGCCTCCACTCCTCCACTGCCGCCCCATCACCATCAAAAGCAAGACATTCGTCATCTTTCTTCCAATCCAGACTCGTCCCAGGACCCACCAAATAGCTTTTAGTTTACTTATTTATGACAATAAATTAAACAGTTATCATTTTAGAATGACATCATTTAAAAAATGTATTATTTAAGGAATGGTTGCAGTTATTTTTCTTTTTTTGGTGGCGGGAGGAGGGATTCAACTCAGGGGCACTCCCCAGCCCTATTTTGTATTTTATTTAGAGACAAGGTCTCACTGAGCTGCTTAGTGTCTCACTGTTGCTAAGCTGGCTTTGAACTTGTGATCCTCTTGCCTCAGCCTCCTGAGCTGCCAGGATTACCGGTGTGCAACCACCATGCCCCGCAGTTGCAGTTATTTTTCACTGTAGGAATCACATAATCCATGCAACTTGTTCATTTTGAAAAGTCATTTCTACAATAAATAATCTTTTTTTTTTTTTCTGGTGCTGGGGATTGAACCCAGGACCTTGTGCATGCAAGGCAAGTACTCCACCAACTGAGCTATATCCCCAGCCCAAATAATCTTTTCAATGAATTGCTTTGGTTTTAAAATTCACTGTTGTGTAGGATATATCAAAGCCATGGGACTTTTTATTTTTTTGGTTTGTTTTTTCCAAAATAGAAAAACTGAGGTTATACTATTTTGATGTGTAAATTTTGGGGTTGCCTTACAGTCAGCAGAAAGCCATTCTGGAGGACCTCCTGACTGACATCCCAGTGCACTTTGACTTCCTCTTTTCTGACTCTCATGCTGAAGTCATTTCGGGGAAACAAGAAGGTTGGTATATTGGCCTTCAGCTTACAACCTGGGATGCTTTTTCTTTCAATTCTCCCCATTTTCCCCTGTATATACTTTATTAAATTTTGCAATATCTTCAAATTTGGGAAATCACAGACCTGAAATATTCTTAAATGACTAAATTAGCTTCTTATATGCCTGTTCTTTATTACTAAAGCATTAAGCCAGTTTGTCTTTACCACATTTAAGGAACATACTTAGAACTCACTGTGATAGGGAAAATTTGTATTCCTTATCTGACTTATGTGGCTTTCTGAATTATAGTGATTGTTGAGCTTTTGGAATCTTCTCACTTACGTGCTAGCAAGGGGAAGTTCTTGACTTGATACACTGAGAAAATGATAGTTCTATTTTGAAAGAAATTATTCTACTTTAGAATGAAATGACAAGTCAGTGATATTTGGGAAATAGCTTGCTAGAAATGAAGACTCAAAAGTCAGTATTTATTTCAGAATCATCTGTCATTTCAACAAGTACTACTTATGTGAAAAGCACTATAGAAAATCCAGAATTTGAGGAGCTGCCATTGAGCTGGTACAGATAAGTGAGGTACACAGAACTAGGAGGTTATTTTAAGTGCCAAAAGGAAGATAAAAAGTATCACTTGAGTCAAGAGGTATTTTTTCTTTTTCCAGCCAGCACCATCAGGGAGTAATTGACCTCAGAAGTATTCAACGGGTATTTCTACATTGAACATGCCAGAGCAGTAGGAGGGTAGGGCTCTGCAGAAGGGGTAGGGAGTACATTCCAAGCAGAAGAAATGATCTGAGTTAGTTGTTGTTGGAAAGGGTGGCCCTGGACAGCTATTTAAGCAAGCATGGTTTAGTTTGAGCCCTGAGGCTGGGCTTTGTTCTGTGTGTCAGCCCAACAGCAGAGGATAGAGGGGTTGCCATGCAAGGTGGAGGCAGGATGATTGAGCTCATGGATTGTCACCTCCTCTCTCTGTAATGACACAAATCAAGGTGAGAGTGAAAAAAGGACAAAAATTGTATGTAGGAAATGTCACAAAAATAGAATCAGACTTGGCAACTAAGTGAATGTGAGAGTCGAAGTAAAAGATAACTCAAATTTTTAAGACCTTTGAATTTATAGATTGAACTTCCTACAAAAGTAAAAATTTTTTAATATTTTATTTTTTTAGTTTTAGGGGGACACAATATCTTATTTTACATTCATGTGGTACAGAGGACCGAACCCAGTGCCTCATGCATGCTAGGGGAGCGCTCTACCACTGAGCCACAACCCCAGGCCCCAAAAGTAAAATTTTTATAACAAGTGAAAGCTCCAGTATTTTTAAACAAACCATTAATTTCAAAGGAAAACTTGGACCTGAGAAATTATATTTTCAACTTATGTAAATGACATAAAATTATAAATATTAAAATTGAAAGTCCTTGAAAAATCACTAAGAAAAGATAAAAGAAATGTGTTAGGTGATATTTTTACAAGTTGTTGAGGATTAAAATAAATGAGATATTTGTGTAGGCTGTGCTGACAAGGGTTATACAAAGTGTTTAAAAGCTTAATTTTGCCTATTTTTATTTTGTGAAATGTCTGTAGGTGTGTATGCATGGATTGGCATTAATTTTGTCCTTGGACGATTTGAGCATATTGAAGAAGGTAAGTGTCATGTTTCCAATGAATGAGTCTAACTGGAAATTAAGGTTTTCTGTGTAATCCAAAGGCTTAAGAGGAGCTAAGTCTCAAGACGGTGCTGAGTGTGGGGGCAGAGCCAGAAGGCTCAGTCCAACTCAGTTGACTAAGCTCGCCTACCACTGGGAGGCTAGCCTGGATTTGCCTGAGCACTTGAAACCTTCCAAGAACACAGGCAATGCCCCACGAGATCACAGTGTTCTGGGTTCGTTCTGCTCCGGTGGACATTTCCTGTTCTTTCTAGATGATGAGGCACTTGTGGAGGTGAGCATTCCTGGTAGTGAGAACAGCCAGGCCATCATCCGGAAAAGAACAGCGGGCATTCTCGACATGGGAGGCGTGTCGACCCAGATAGCATACGAAGTCCCCGAAACTGTAAGCTTTGCCTCCTCACAGCAGGTTACTATCTGTACAAATTGCCTTCTGTTTGGTTTGGTTTTCATTTAACATGTCTCCATCCATTTTTGTTTTGTTTCCTGAGTCTGAACACATCTTTACTTGCTTGCTGTGGGCCCACCTTCTCATCCCAGGAGGAAAGAGGCTGCAGGAAGGAGGCGGGCCTCAGCCAGCCGCTAGCGTTTGTGCCTTGAGACCAGCTGGTTTGTTTTCTGAACTTAGACTTTTCTTTGGTATATGTCACTAGCATGCTTGAGTTTTTGTTTTATGTTTTCACTTCAGTCACTTCTTTTCTCAAGGTATTTAAAACTTAATACAGTAGCTTCTGATTTTTTAAGTCATAATTGGGGAAGATCCTTTCTTTTTAATGGCTCAATCAACTTTGAACTTTTCTGGAAAGAATCAAGGTTATCCACTACCCCACATCTCTGAATTGGTGGTTTGCTTGTCTTTTCTCCACACCCTTGAGCATTCTGTGTTATGGCCTGTGGTCTTCCACAGGCCAGGCAGCTGTGTACAAGGAACACCAGGGCCGCTTCCATGTGTTTTCCTGAATTACTATATGTCTCTATCGCTCGGTGTGGGTCCAGCTGGGAAGGACCACCAAAGCCTGGTGTCCTGCTCTATCCCCCACAAGTGGGGTGGGCAGACAGGCCTGTTCCTCACCAGGTGTGACCTTGTGTGACCTTGTGCAAGTCACACTGCTTCTTTGAGCCAGTTTGTTCTTCTCTTAATGTGATAAAAGCCCCTATAGGATGGGGTTAATGTAAAGTTAAAATAATGCACAGAATGTGTAATACACTTCCCAGCACCAAGTATGTGCTTAATCAATGTTTTTGGTGTCTTTGTTTCCTACTTCCCATTCCAAATGTCTTTAGAAATCATTATGTTCCATAAAAAAATCATGTCCCCACAATATAAAGCAACAAATACTATAAAGGAAGTTTGGTGAAAATTAGAAATGAAAATTCTATGAACTCATCATTTAAAAAATCATTATTAGTATTTTGGTGAATTTCTCTTTTTTTCCTATTTATAGTTTTAAAAAATACATTTGTCCTAACACTACTGTTTATATAATTTTGTGTCTCTTGTTTAGCAATGTATAGCATGTTCCTCTGTTATTGATTACTGTAATTAACTTAAGCTTCCCTTTAGATTGTATATTAAAACAACTTCCAGTTTTTTTTTGTCTCATAGAATTGTAAAGGCCATCTCTGTGTATAGCCTTTTTTGTTTTTATATTTATTTCCATAGATTTACTAGGTCAGAGTATGAACTGTATCTCTAACTTCCTTTTTAGAGAGTCATAACAATACCATAAGTGTACAAAACACCTGAAATTTCCTAAGTCAGAATCATCATTTTGAATTATGAAGGATGCTTACGAGGATCATTGGGAAATGTTGAAGCAGAAGTTTGCTACTCTTAGATCCTTTCAAGACTCTACTTAGATCCTCTTTTTAAGAGAAGTTAAAATTGCTTTAAAATATTAAAGTTCATTATCCTGTGTCTTCAGGAGGAAGTAGCTAAAAACTTGTTAGCTGAGTTTAACCTGGGATGTGACGTTCACCATACTGAGCATGTGTATCGTGTCTATGTGGCCACATTTCTTGGTTTTGGTGGCAATGCTGCTCGACAGAGATATGAAGACAGAATATTTGCTAACACAGTTCAAAAGAACAGGTAAAGCACCTCCCACTACTTGGTAGTTACTTGTACACCTGGGTCTTACATCAAAAACAGGTCCAGGCCAAGCAGGGAGAGTTCCATCAGCAAAGTATGTCAGTCCTGGTAGCTTTGTATCAGCTCCCGGTGAGCTGGGAGAAGGAATGAGAAAGGGTGTCATGGTCCTGCCACCAGCCCTCTGGCCTACCAGCCTCCAAGGAGGTACATGTGTGTACTGTCTCTCCCTCCAAAGACCTGCACCTCACTTATGGAGGTTTCACCATGAGGCTGTACAATAGTGTTGAGCCCTGGGGAGTGCCGTTCCTGATGACAGCACTGGTGCTGTCCTGGAGGCTTGCAGCTACTGTCCACTCCTGACCTTGAGAAGGCTGGTACTTATGAGTTCTGGAACCTACATATACCAACCTGGGCAGCTGTCCAGTAGATGAGAGCCATAGTGAAAGGAGTTACTCAAGACAGAAGTGATACCAATGTCGATGGTTTTAAAAAATATTTAGCAATGAAACTTAAAAAAATGAGTTTATGTAAGATTCTGATATTTAAAAGATATGAAACAAGGCATACTCTGTTGGTTTAAACTTATTTTGTAAGTTTAAGTATATAGCAATTATGTATTTGAAATTCATCCATAATAACAGAAGTTAATTGAATGAATTTAAAAAATTACATTTAGGGTTATATTAGAAACCCTATTGATAACTGCGCCTTGTTTTTCTTTGCTTATTTTGATGAAACAATTTTAAGGGGAAAATTTTCAAATTCACAGGGCTAAGCACTAGTATACTTTCTTGACCAATTTGATCTTAATAAATATGTGAAGGCCTGAACTTCAATAAATACCAAGCTGGAGCTAGACACATTTGCCAGAAACCCAAGTATTTAAATAGGAAAAGCAATAAAAACCATGTCCTGTGTTTATTTCCAAAGCTAACTGAATTCTGTTATTTATAGCATTGGAAGTCCCATGGTTTGTTTTTTTTAATGGGAATCTAGCATGTTTAGGTACAATCATCTTTGTGATATTCTTAGAATATAAATATTTTATAAATTATATTGAAATTATTTTTGCAGATTTATTGAGCAGCTTCTTCAAAGCTATCTGAATTCTGTTAATTATAGCATTAGAAGTCCCATTTTTTTTTAAAATGGGTATCCAGCATATTTAGGTACAGTCATCTTTGTGATATTCTTAAAATATAAATATTCTATAAATTATATCGAAATCATTTTTGCAGATTTATTGAGCAGCTTCTTCAAAGCTAACTGAATTCTGTTAATTATAGCATTGGAAGTCTTATGGTTTTTTGTTTTTTTTTTAAAATGAGTATCCAGCATATTTAGGTACAGTCATCTTTGTGATATAATTTATAAAATATTTATATTTTAAGAATATTGAAATCATTTTTGCAGATTTATTGAGCAGCTTCTTAAAAAGTTAGGGTTTCCTTGGCTTTATTACCAGTTTAAAATTTTTGTTGTTGTTTAATGAACAGTTATTTTAGATGTGGGACAACTAAAATAGTAACATGAGGTATACATTTGACTCTCTTGGGTTTTTAATAATAATTACTAGTGTTTCACGTGTGAAGACTTGAGCCTTGAAGCACACTCTTTGCCATTTATGATGGTATTGTAGTCAGCCTTTTGTCGTTGCGACAAAATACTTGAGAAAAACAACTTTGGGTAAGAAAGATTTATTTGGGCTCATACACTCAGAGATTTCCATCTGTGGTCGGCTGTCTCCCTTGCTGTGGGCTGTGAAGAGGCAGAACATCATGATGGAGAGGTATGGAGCAGAGCTGTTCACCTCTTGGCCGCAAGGAAGCAGGGAGAACAAGAGGAAGGGGCTGGGGACAAGCTACATCATTCCAGGGCATGTTCCCAATGACCTACTTCCTCCAATTAGGTCCCACCCTCTGTGGTTTTCACTGTCTCCCAGTAATGCCATCAGATTATTAATCCATGAGTAGAGCAATACACCAAAGAGGTCAGAGCCCTGGTGATCCAGTCACCTTCCCAAGGCCCCTCCACTGAACAATGCTGTTATAATAGCATGACCATCTGCACAAGAACCTTGAGGGCCATACCACTATCACAGGTGGTGATCAATTTTGATTTTTCTTTAATTAGGTAAATATTTTCATGGCAAAAGTCTTTTTTGATTGCAATCAAGCACATCATGAGTAGTCCTGATCTGAGAAATATACTTGTTAGTTGACTGTCAGTGGTGAATATTGAGTTCTGGAATATCTAACTTCTAACAGCTGAATACCTGTCACACTCACATGAGTTCCTGGTGCCCAGTACCAACATCACTTCTGTTTTTTGAGCTTTTTTCTATCCCTCATTTGCTTGAAGGCACGAGTTCCCAGAAATCTCACAGGAAGTGGCAAGCCTGGTGCATTTCAATAAATAGGTCAACTTTCCCCCAGAGCATGGGGCACAGCAGAATCCCTGCTACTTGCTGCAGTTGGGATCAATAATTGATAAAAATAATTTTTAAAAATCAGTTGAAACAGGGCCTGGTGTGGTGGTGCACACCTGTAATCCCAGCAGCTCAGGAGGCTAAGGCAGGAGGATTGTGAGTCCAAAGCCAGCCTCAGCAAAAGCAAGGCACTAATCAATTCAGTGAGAGCCTGTCTCTAAATAAAATACAACATAGGGCTGGGGATGTGGCTTAGTGGTTAAGCGCCACTGTGTTCAATCCCTGGTACAAAAAAAAAAATTGAAACAGAATACCATAAAAATAGATCAAATCTTAAACTTTTTTTTCACTTAATTATCAGCTGATCTTTTTTCTGAATTAAGCTGTCTTCTAATTCACCCTCATTGAGATATCATTTTGGCTTTATTTAAAGAATATCCAGACTTAATAACATTCGTGAAGCAATCCTAGAATTTACTACTTTTTTCTAATTATTTTCTATCTTTCCCACTAGGGTTTAAAAAGTTTTCTAACAACTTGTACCTTTCATGTTGTTCTAAAGTATTTAGTTGATTTTCCAGAACCAATTAGTTCTTTTCACAGTTACCTCTCAGCTTTATACAGTTACAATAAAAGCACTGTTGACAAAATGGGGATAGGGAACAACATGGTCACTGGGCACTCTGTGGCCAGTAGCATCAGGCTGTGTTGCAGGGAATCGAAAATGTCAGGTAATCAGACAAGTTTTTTCATCTGGACTTGGTTGTGTCTGCTGCATGTGACTCTGCACTGTGAGTCTCCAAAAGGAGGTTGGGTGCCAGTTTTCCTAGCTTAATTATCTTAGAACCCTTTGTTGTTTGCATACACACAGTCTTACAGGACCTGTGTCCCACAGAGTGTGTTTGGATAAACACTGCTTTGCAACCACTTCTCCAAAATGTGGTACAGCATAGGTCTCATGATAGAATTGCTCTTTGTGCCATAGGCTTCTGGGTAAACAGACTGGTCTGACTCCTGATGCTCCCTATCTGGACCCCTGCTTACCCCTTGACATTAAAGATGAAATCCAGCAAAATGGGCAGACGATGTACCTGCGGGGAACAGGGGACTTTGACCTGTGTCGAGAGATGCTCCAGCCTTTCATGAACAAAACCAATGAGACGCAGACTTCCCTCAATGGGGTCTACCAGCCCCCTATTCACTTCCAGAACAGTGAATTCTATGGCTTTTCTGAATTCTACTATTGTACTGAAGATGTGTTACGGATGGGGGGAGACTACAGTGCTGCTAAATTCACTAAAGCTGCAAAGGTAAACCTTCCAAGAAACCCTGTGCTCTGCATGCTTTTGAGAGACCAGAGTGGACAGGAACAGGTCACGTCTCCCTCACCCTTAGAAGGGAAGCTGGAGTATGGGAGGTTGTGGTCCAGCATTAGGGAATCCTGTTCCCATGGGTTGGGGGAGATGAAAATAGTCACAGAAGAAGTAAAGAATCAGGCTGGGGATGGCTCAGCAGTGGAGCGCTCGCCTAGCATGTATAAGGCCCCGGGTTTGATCCTCAGCACTACATAAAAATAAATAAATAAAGGTATGTGTCCAACTACAACTAAAAAATAAATATTAAAAAAAGAAGAAGCGGCAGCAAATAATCCACCAGAACTGACTTCTACCCTGCACTTCAGTAACTGCACTGGTCATTGGGAACTTCCAATGTACTGTTATTTTTCTTCTTTGTCACATCTGACAGTCCTCCTGCCGGTCTTCCCATGCCTTTAGCCACCAGAACACTCCTGTCTTTTCGCGCTCCCTTCCTTTCTGACATTGTTCCTCAAGCTCTTTCAGAAGTTTCCCCTTCACACCCCTTGAGCCTTGGTGACCCTTGACTTCTACTCATGGCCCACTGACCTAGTTCGTGGATGGTTTTCTGGTGCACCTCAAGAAGAGTCTGCAATCCTGACTTGTGCGCTGCTGCCTACTAGATTTCACAACTCCAGACAAGCCCACCGTTTCTCCCCATCTGTCCCTGTTGTGCCACCATGGTTGATGATATAACCAATGGGCTGTTCATCCCCGGTGTAGGAGTATGGACTTATCTCTTGTTTGTTTTTTGTTGCTGGGCTTTCCCCCTCTCATAGGCTTGGTTCCTGGCATTTCTTCATGACCCTCTTGCCCCAGGCTGAGTGCATTCTCTCTTGCTGCTTGTCCCACCACCCTGTTCTCAGCTTCATTGTGCTATAAATAGAGGCTGGGAGAGAAGCCATGTGGAGGGCTCAGGTCTTCCATTCAGAAGCAGCACATGCTGCTCAGTAAACATTAGTGATTCATTTCATTCTGGGTAACTTCGGGAAAACCAAGTCCCTCTTTGCTTTTGCAGTCACTGTCATCTCCTCAGTACCTTCCACTGAGCCTGCCTCAGACACGGAACTCTGGGTATGTGATAGGCAGGAATGACCCTTCTCTTCGTTGAAGCGTTGTCTGTGACAGGCATGGAGGGAAACTAGATAGTTTCAAGGAGCTTGTTTCCCACATCCTGTGCAGGGGGAAACAGGGTTCCCCTTGGTGGAATGGGCTGGCTGAGAAATAAAAGCCAAGAGAAATAAAATAGCCTAAAAACCCCACAGAACACAGAAAGTAATTTCAAAAGCAGAGGCAGGACAGGCAAGCTGATCAGAGGAATCCGGCTTCTGGCAAAAATGGAGCCCACTTCTGCTTTATTTATATCGGGAAACATCAAAGGCCTTCCATAGAATGTTCATCACCAAAATAGGATTAAGGTGGCCTGTTCAGTTCCTAGCGGGATACGCCATCTCCGTACTACCAAGAGGGACCTTTCTAGCAGAACAGACAGAAAGGCCACGGGCATTGGGCAACCCATTGTGTGGGAGAGCCACAGAAGATTCCCAGTGCCGGGCCTATCTGCCCCTGGCTCCCATGTGAGAGAGGGTCCTCATGTGTTTCACAGGTGGCTTCCCGTAGGTGGCGGGCTTCTCTAGGGATTCCTGGCAGAGTGGTGGGGTAGAATGACCATGGCATTGCTAACCAGCCAGCACGCTGCGTATCTGGCCCTCACTGCACTGATGCCATGTTTCTTGGAAGGATCTGCTTGTTATGCAGATGAGTTTGATATTGTTTTTTAATTCAAAATGTTTTAATAAGTCTTTCCTGATGATTTATTTTGGGTGAAATTGCTTTTAGGACTATTGTGCAACAAAGTGGTCAATCTTGAGGGATCGCTTTGACCGTGGACTCTATGCCTCGCATGCTGACCTCCATCGGCTTAAGTAAGTAGTAGACAGTCAAGCTGCAGGTGCTTTTAAGGACCAGTAGTAGTTCAGTGTTGGCCCAGTATACATCCTTATTCTCTGCAATCACTATGCCTTTTTCATCTACCCTTGACTCTTCCATATGGGACAAACATTTGTTCCTGGACATATCAGACATAACATATATTCATACACACACACACACACATATATTGGGGGGGGCAATTTTGAAATCCCCCTGTTTGTTAGAGTTATGTCAGATGCTGTCCCTTTCCAGGCTTCCTCTGTCTACTCACCCTGACCGCTCTTGAGTCTCCACGACACTCATCATACCCCTCTAAAGCATGGATCCTATTCTGCTTTGGTTTGTTGTTGTTTGTTGCCTTTTTAAACTTCCCTTTCATTATAAGCCACTCAAATGGAGCGATTGTGCCTCATTTACCATTACATCTTATTACATGCGTAGCACAGTGCTTTGCAAAAAATAAGCTGCTAGTAAACATTTAGGATCACAGAATATCAGAGCAGAGAAGGACCTTCCCGCCTTCTCATTTTTTTTTTTAATTCTAATTTGTTATATATGACAGCAGAATGCGTTCATATTACACATATAGAGCACAGTTATGTTTCATATCTCTGGTTGTATGTAAAGTAAATTCACGCCATTCGTGTCTTCCACCTTCTCATTTTGAAATAAGCTGAGGTCCAAAGAGTTAGAACTTAATGTTTTTTCAGTAAATATTGGAATCCCTAATGGGAAAAATTTGTCATGTTCATGGATTCAGTTATACCAAAACCAAACTTCACAAGCTAATCAATTTTGGCAGGTGAACTTATTCATGTTGTGGGGAGCGGGCAAGAGCCAGGTAATCGGCTGGAAATATGCAGCTGATTTGGCCACTCAGAGGGCTTGCCTGCTAAAGCCCGTTCATCTCTGTTCTGGGCCCATTCTGACATGTGAATGGCTCTGACTCCTGTGCCTGGTGTTTGTAGGTATCAGTGCTTCAAATCAGCCTGGATGTTTGAGGTGTTCCACGAGGGCTTCTCGTTTCCTGTTGGGTATAAAAACCTGAAGACGGCCTTGCAGGTGTATGACAAGGAAGTGCAATGGACCTTGGGGGCTATCCTTTACAGGACCCGCTTTTTACCATTGAGGTAGGCAACAGGTTTGGTAAGGAGGACCATAAAAGATGCTTCTCTCCAGTTCAGGGCCCGTGGCACCTGTGTTTTGTGGATGTCAGTGTGTTGCTCTCAGAGCTGCCCAGGGCAGAACTTAGAGTCTTTGACACTTCACTTTGGTCTCCTCCCCTCTTCACAAGGCCTTGCTTCCTTCCCACCCTGCTCACCCCACAATACACAGCACTTTGTGCTGTTGCCTGTGTTTGATTATTCTCAGCTGTCCTCTAACCTCTACAGAAGGGTTGATCCAGGGGTTCAGAGGGTTGTACAGGAAACCATTACATCGAAATGCATTTATCCAATGATTACAGAAAACACACTGTCATAAAGTGGTATGTGTTCTTTATTAGCACATTAAATATCAAGATCTGGCCCTAGAACTAGTTATTTCTATAATTTCAGTGTAATTATGAGCATCCATGGTACTTTGAGGCATCAATTACAATAATGAGATATTTCATTAATAACCAAATCATAGGTACTGCTAATATTACAGTAATTTGTTGTCTACATTCATGATTAAAGGAAAATATTAAATATTAAACTTCAGTCTGAGATTGCTGAAATAAAGATGTACATTTTGGGGACTGGAGTTGTAGCTCAGTGGTAGAGCACTTGCCTAGTATATGTGAGGCACTGGGTTTGATTCTCAGCACCATAAATAAATAAATAAAATGAAGTCCATTGACAACTAAGAAATTTTTTTTAAATGCACAAGTTTTTTTTTTTTTTAGTTTCCTGGTTCAGGTTTAGAGACTAGATGCGACCCCATGTTAAGGACCCTGTTTTCTGGGCATGTGGTCTGTGGCAGAGTGCTTGCCTAAGATGCACAGTTAAATCCCTTGTACCAGAGCCAAAACCTCTGGTTAACCTATAAATGAGATATCAACTCTTTATCCCATTTAATTGAGCATCTTCTAATCTTACTTTTAGTTGAATCAACTGCAAAAATTGTTCAGAGTAGGGTTACTGTGTGGTTTCACATTGTGTTGGCTTCCTTGTGTTAGTGAACCCCTCATAGTTCTGATTTTTGCTACCCAGTTTATAATGCTGGTAATTGGTAGGGACTCAGAGCATTCCTTCACGTGTTACCACAGACTTCCAAGTACCCTAGTGCAGCCTTACTCTCCTCCATCTCAGAGGTGGGGAAACTGAGTGTCAGTGGCCAGCTCTCAGCTGTGTCTAGGGTCAGGCCCATGCCAGGCCCCGCGGCTGAGTTCCTGCAGGCGTGGTTTCCACCCAGCCCCTCTTACCCTGTTTCTGTTGTGTTTCCTCCTTGGGCAGAGATATCCAGCAGGATGTTTTCCGGGCCAGTCATGCGCACTGGCGGGGCGTTTCCTTTGTCTACAACCACTACCTGTTCTCTGGCTGCTTCCTGGTGGTCCTGCTGTCCATCCTCCTCTACTTGCTAAGGCTGCGACGCATCCACCGACGCTCACCCCGCCACAGCTCAGCCGCAGCACTCTGGATGGAGGAAGGCCTGCCCTCCCAGAAGGTGGCCGGCACCCTATGAATGCAGGCACAGCTGTGGCAAGACTTTTATAGGAAAAGCCATTTTTGCCTCAGGGTTTCTCCTCTGTGTTCTCAGATGGTTTTATTTTTCCTTTCCCTTTTTGTTCTTTTAAACAAAATCCATTGTATGTCGGCCCTGCTGTCTAGAAAGTACACTGCCTTTAGCCGTTTTGAATACAGCTTTAACTGAGGAGTAGAAAAAAGGGAAACACCTGATTTTTGCTGCATAAGGTGTCTGCCAAAAATTAATGAGATTTGTGGGTTTTTCTTTAAGATATGGTAAATTTTCAACAAATGCACTTTGATTTTGGAGGCAGGTAGGAAAGATGCTTTCTGTCAGTCAGTGGAGATAGGACTGAAGATTGACACTTGTATGGAACCCAGAAGGCAAATTATAACCCTCTGTCTTTTTTGAAAGCTCCAACCTGAAGAGGGTGATATTTATTTTTTATTCATTGTGCAGGTCTGCCCCTGTGTTTTCTTTGCAGATTTAAAAATTCAAAATCAGTATGTCCAAAATAGATTTAAAAAAAAAAAAAGCACCAGGAGGAAACTATTTTTAAAACTGATAGTGAAAGATGTGAACTGTTGACCAGAGCGTGTGAAAAATGCTGAGGACCCAGAGAGAGGGACATGTACCCTGCACAGGCTGCTTTGCATCATTTGATCTAGGAAGTGCTCCTTGCTGTTTTCTTTCCTAATTGCAGGTAACTGCGTGCATTATCCAATCTTTCAGCATCGTTAGAAAATTTGTTTTTGAAAGAATTGGAGAATTCATAAAATTTCCCTCATTTTAATTAAACTTCATGAGAACTGAGCAGGTGTGTACTTCTAGGTGCTTCAGCATTTCTTAGAAGTTCATTTGTGCTTATTGAGTTATGCAGTTTTTTCCAATTTCAAGTTAGTATAACGTCCCCCTCCCACTCCCTACCCCCCGCCCCCTGTTAAAAGTTGTCTTAGCAGTTTTACTTACTAAGAAATTTTTTTTTAAATGCAAAAGTTGTTTTTTTTTTTTAAAGTTCATTTTCCTGGTTCAGGTTTAGAGACTAGACTCAACCCCATGTTAAGGGCTGCTTAGAGCTGCAACTGTGGCTGGCATGCCCCAGTAAATCCGGGCCAAGGAAAACTGTGAATTTAACACAAGAAGTAAATTTATATTTTGAAGAAAGCAGATTTGACACTTTAAGCAAAAACCAAAAAAGGACAACTGGATTGGCATATGCCTTTCACCTATTCTTAGTTTAGAAATTCTCAGTTTTTTTAAGAAGTTCTTTTATGAGAGTACGTGTTTGTACATTTCTGGACCCTAAAACGGTTAAATTAACGTAGATAGCAGCAATTGGTATTCTGAGAACCCATTAGCTATTTATTAGAAAATCATTGATTAGAAAAACAATTCAAATTCTGAATCCCTGTTTAAGCTAGAAAAAGGAGTTGAAATTTATCTTGATTGATTACTAATTATAAGACACAGTGTCTATTGATGACTTCAAAGATTACTGATTTGTAAAAGAAATGTGAATGTTTTAATTCTCTTCAAAGTGAATATTCTAGCAAAGAAGAAAGTTATTGGTGGAGAGTTAGAGAAGGCAGATGTTATAGCATCTGAAGTGCTGGCCGCCAGCCACTTAAATCCAGTGCAGTTGAGCTGCCGTCGGTACCCCAGGAGCACACTGAGCTGCGCCTCACCTTGAGTTCAGAGCCTTGTGGACCCTGGTGGTGTCATTGAGGAAAAGTAAGTGCAGTTACAGTTTAGCTTCTCTATTGCCAGCTAGTTGGAACAGCAGGGCCCTACCCTGTAGAATAAAATCTATAAATGCTTAGAGTTTGTGGTTTTACCTTTAAATCAAGACAAAGAGAAGCTAGCCCAGGAATAGATTTAAATAGTCCTTCATTAAAACTTACTCGCTTAAATAAACACTCTTGAAGCCTATAATTCCAGCAATTTAGGAGGCTGAGGCAGGAAGATTCCAAGTGTGAGGCAAGGCTGGGCAACTGTTTTCTGTACTGTCTTACAGAAAAAAACAAACAAAAATGCTGGACTGTCTCCTGGATTCAATCCAGGATGGATAAATGAATAAATAAGCAAACAAACACTCTTTTAAATGAGGAAGTCAATTTAGTCCAGCTCTGCATTTGGGGGGCAGAGTAGACACACAAAGGAGCTCTGATGTTAGCCTGCTCAAAAGATCCCGTTGCAAGAACCTACCTCATTCTCCAAAAGAAGTCCCCAGATTAGGGTTCCGCATTCCACACTACCTTGTACCTGATAAGCATGCACGCTTCTCTCACAGCTCCTTGGAGCAGCTGGGCAAACTTGCCAATCCAAAAGACCCTAGAGCTAAGAATGGTTTTTGTGTTTTTAAAGAAGTTTAAAAAAAATGTTGAAAAATATGCAGTAGAGACTATATGTGGCCTAAAATATTTGCGAAACGGCCTTTTACCATTACAAAGAATGGTAAAAGTTTTATGGGAAAAGTTTGGTGGCTGTGTTACCTTGTGGTCACTGCTACAAATACCTGAGTGAATCAACTTGTACAGAGAACAGACATTTTTTTTGGTTCACAGTTTCTGAGTTTTCAGTCTCTGATGGGCTGATCTTGCTGCTTTGGCCCTGTGTGAAGCAGCACATTGCACATTATGGTGGAGCAAAATCTGTCTGCTGGCTTTAAACCTGGAGCTAAGAGAGAGGAAGAGGAGGGGCCAGGGCCCAAGGACACACCCCCAGAAACCTGCCCCTGGGCCCACCTCTTAAAGGTTCTACTACCTCCCAGTAGTGCCAAAGTAGAAACAAGACTAAGCCTTCAACACACTATAGCTGTGGCCCTGCAAGAACAGTCTCATTCAAGAAAGGAAATAGGCATTCGTGGACACAAAAAAGATGGGCAAAAGAAGTAACCAAGTTTCAACCTTAAAATACTGGCTTATCCACCAGAAGTTAACTTCGTATCTTTGCTTTTAGATTATTTTTAAGATCAGTGTCCTACCAAATGAGGAAATCTGCCCCAACTCCAATTTTAAAAATAGTGCTGTTTAAGGGCGCTCAGTGTTATATTGAGAAAACTGCATCACAGCAAATTGTATTCCAGAGAGCCTCAGTAGTGTCTCAGAACTATGTGTCCCATGGAAGAGAAGAGGGCCACATACTTCCTCTAAGTGTTGCAGGGATGGATTTGAGGCCAGCAGAGGAGAAGCTTGCTTCAGGCAGAGGAGGGTTCATCCCAGTTCAGGATTGGCAAGGAGAGCGGCCAAGTCTATACTTGCAATGGAAAGCAAAAGAAATCAAACTGGGACTTGCTAAAAGCTTTGTCCAAGAAACGGTTTCTGTGATAATCTTGGTAGAAAGACTCCCCAGTAAAAGCTTATGTCCCATTAGCCATGTCATGTGCTCTCCTTTCTATGCCTCCAGGAGATGTTCTCACAGGCTTCACAGTCCATTTAGGGACATCACAGGAAAAGACACAGTTGTATTTGCACCAGTTGTTTTTGCGCACACACACACACACACACCCTCCCCCTGAAACTGCTGGCTTTAGGCAGTGCCTACCAGCTCCAGGGGCAAGGGACAAAGATGCTGCTCATGGCTTAAGGCCAGTATTGTCAGGGCTTTGCCTGATGACCCTCAAGGCTCTTGCCCCTGTCATCCACACCTCTGCACTCTAGCATAGCAAATGCTCGATGAACAGATATTTAAATTTTAAACTCAGGCCTACATAGTTTTCCTTATAAGGAGCATGTATCACTTCGCAAGAAACTGAAAAAGGCAAATGTGTTTTCCAAGCTTTAAAAGAAAATCTGCTTTAGAATTGTGTGTGGTCATGTGCAATACAGCAAAACTACCTTCGAGTAAATTATTTATTTATTTCAGTGTTTTGTTTTTTATGATATTGAGTTTCCCTTTCAAAAATGGATGATGTGACCAAACAAGGAGAATTCTTTGTTCTTTTACCCAAATCGTATTTTACAGTTAGGAATTACAAGAACTAGGGGAACCTCTTTAAATGTCTTTTGTTTAAGTGATGGTTTCCATTCAGAGTGAGAAAGGGTCCTGGGACAGGGTTGTGGTGTCATATCACCTTCTGCATTTGGTCGCCTTGTCGCACTTGCACACGGAAGGGTGCTGATAATCAATAACGTGAAGGTTCACCAGCAGCCCCTAGGTGTGTGCTTGCTTCTTGTGATTGAAACAGATTTCTCTCTGATATTTGAATCTTTTTACTTGTTAGAATGATTGGTCAAATTTGAGTCTAAGTTCAGTAAAATAAATTAAATCTGACTACACACTCTTTGTGTCTCATCTTGGGCATGTGGGCCGGGAAGCACAGCTGTAAGGGTCACAAGGTCTCTGCAGCCCGCAGCCATCACCAAGCGATGCTTGAGGAAAGAAACCCTAGGCAAAACCTAGCCAGTCACCAGCAGTACCGCTAGTCTGAAACTGCCATTTATAAGCTCCTCACCTTGAAGTGCCTGAAAGCTATATGTATAGACAGGAAAAAGAAAATTAACCAAGGTTTATGTATTGTACCATGGAAAAAGGCCAAAATGGAGTGACAGTATTTTGGGGCACTTAAAATGGAGTTGGGAGGCCATCATTCATCAGATCGCAGATACAGCTCAGCTGAGCCTTTAACTAGGCCAAACCACAGTTTCCTGGAACGTTGTTAACTTCTGCTGACTGGAGGGTGGACTCCTTACCCCACTACCCGGACACTGAGATTGCAACCAGCCCCTTTCTTATAGAACAGCTTTTCTTCTGCCAGCACCAGTTGAAGTTTCCCATCAACAAGTGGTGTGATTTCCAGCCCCCCTGGTGGCTAAAAGCTCTGAATGCAGTCTTCATTTTCTAGAACCTCAGAGCACATTCTTAAGAATGCTTGAATCTCTGTTCTCCCAGATTGCAATCCTAAACAGTCCAAGATAAATGTAATTTTCGTTGTTCTCAACTAGGTTATCATATTCTCGGTTGACAGTCTTACTGATAGTAACAACAAATGCTCATTTTAGGAGACACCATTGCAATTAGACCTAAACTTAAATCTGTGGTTTATTTTCAGAAAATTATTAATCTCATTATTGACATTACTAATAACTCACAGGAAAGATCAAATTAGAAGCTAAACTTTTTTTTAGCTCTTTTTAGAACATATAAATAGAGGTTTTCCTGGAGGAAGAAGGTGGGCCTGAGCCATACCTGAAAATAGACATAGAGACAGATGGCAAGCCAAGGGGGCCAGCTGTTAAGAACCACACAAGCCCCACAGTGTTCCGAAGGAGCCAGGGAAAGGCAAAGGCAGTATGGGGGGGGGGCAGTTAGCACAAAAGTGAGGTGCCCAAGCCATGGACAGCAAGAACAAAGTTAAAATAGAACTTGCTTAAGTCACTTTGAGGCAGTATGATCCATGTGGGACTTCACACCTGAGGGTAAATATCTTAAAATATCTAAGACAACTAAAGATGTCTGAATTTTCATTCCACTTGGTAGAGGGGAAGTACCTATATCCAAAAGCTGACCAGGCTAACAGATCAGAAAGGCGTGGTTCTGGGTTTTTGTTTATTTTCTGTCTTTTTAGTCTTTTTATGAGTTTGGAATGCACTCTATGGATCTTTTTTGTTGTTTCTGAGGGGTTGGTTTTGTTTTGCTTATTTTAGATCCTGAAATGCTAATGGTTTGCACAGAAGGGGTTTTGGCCATCACGGGGACCTGGGAGCCAAGGAGTCCATGTCAGCTCTGTCAGAGTTAGAATGTCTTCTTTTATAAGGGTCATCAAAAGACAAAGGCCTGCCCTGCTAATCCCAAAGCACAGCATAGCAGATCTGGAAACGTAATACCTTTTAGAGTCTTACAAGCTCCTCAGGCTTCTGTCTGCCTCCTCATAACAAAGAAGAATTTATCTGTTGATGTATTTTCTCTGTTTTTAACTAAGTAGCCCCCCTCCCTCTGCACATGGCCTCTTTCTGTTACTGTGCCCATTAAGACCCAGAGACCTGCTCTAGGGGACCCAGGCTGGGGGCTCTCTGGCCTTTGATCTTTGCCCTTCACCTGATCCTGTTTGGCAGGGGAATTATATCTGGGCTCCAGACGTCATGGCCACTTGACCGTATGTCACATGGAGGAGACTCAAACAAGAAACCAGACCTTAAAAAGGATTTCTGCCCAGAGAAAAGTACTGAAAGCTCCTCACAGAACACCGTGGTGACAGGCACAGAGACGGGTCACTCTAAATACACACGCTCACCCAAGTGGAGGGAGAGGCGGCTTTCACTCCATCATCAATGACTGTCTTAGGCATTGTGTTGTGGGATTCCCGTGTGTGACAGAAAGGGGAAGAGATATCCTATGGCAAGGACATCAGAGGACCAAGGATGGCCTTTCTAACTCCCAGCGTGAGGCTGACTTTCCTTGTATTCTTTCAATAAAGTATGTGCACAGGCTGCCCCTGCTGTTCTCTGGTTCATCACTGGTAGTGTGAATTCCGCTTTTCACCCATTTTTGCTTCAGAGTTCAAAGCCAGCTACTCCAAAAAGATGAATCATCCTCTTCTTGGCTGTGGTTACCCAGGACTTAAACTCCAGGAACCAAGCTTAGCACTTTCTCCTCTTAAGGTTTATCTCCACTTGGACTAACTTTGTTATGCCAGAGTTTAGGTTCAAAAAGACTGAGACACTTAAACATTTAATGGACTCTACTTAGCTTGTGAAGTTCTTTTATTCTGGTTATGGCAGCACAGGAGAATTTTCTGGAAGTTCCTGGCCATTCTGCTATGGGTTGAATGTGTCTCCCAACATCCATGTGTTAGAAATGAAGTCCTCAGTGCAACACTGTTGAGGGTGAGAACTTTGAGAGGCGATGAGGTTGAGTTGACCTCAAGGTCAGCGTTATCTCAGGAGTGATTTCCTCGTGGAGAGAGAGGCTCTGTTATGAAGGTGTGTCTGGCCCCCTCGCCACTCTTGGACACGCTCTCCCTCCATGTGATGCCCTCCATGAAACTGTAACAGCAAGATCTCACCAGATGTGGCCTCTGATCTTGGACTTCCCAGCCTCTAGAACCATGGGCCAAATAAACTTCTCTTGTTTATAAATAACCCATCTCTGATATTCTTTTATAGCAACATAAGACAGACTAAGACATAGGTATAGTGTTCAATTTACATCTTTAAATTCCAACTTTCTCTGACTCTTTTGTCCATCCATGTATCTGTCCTATCTCTGAACTTCCTTGAATGTGAATCAATGCAAGGGTCCTGCATTTACTTTCTTTATATTTATAGCTAACCCAATGATGAAAATACCTTGTAGCACATAATGTTTCCTAAATATTTGTAATCTTAGCAAAATATGATTTATTTTTCCAGACACCTCTTTAGGCTTCTAGAATATGTGCAGTAAGTCTCTCAAAACTGCCGCAGTCCGGCTGCAGCAAAATAACCGGAAGGGGGTGACGAGGAACTTGTGTACATTGATACAGCAGGAGTGGGAGCCATTTATTGTAGGACAACAGAGGTATTTATACATTCCACACAGCTTATCTTAATTAACATAAACTCGATACAGCAGCAGTCAACCAATAAGGAATCTCCAAACTTAATGGCTCACTGGCGCCACCTCACAAACCACTCCCTCTGGCAAAATGCCAGGCGCCATCCTGACTTGTTTACAGACTCTAACACAAAACCCTTTTATTCTTGGGGCTGGAGTTGTAGCTCAGCGGTAGAGAGCTTGCCTTGCACGTGTGAGGCGCTGGGTTCGATTCTCAGCACCATATAAATAATAAAGTAAAGGTCCAATGACAACAAAGGTCATATATATATATATATATCTTTATATATGTATCTTTTATTATCAGTCTTTGTTGTTCTTCCAGATTGCAGTTTTGTGCAGCTTTAAGACCACATGCAGTGCGATGGGGATGGGGGTGGGGGCAGGGGGGGTGCCCCTCACACTCAGACATGGTTCACTTCTGATTTAGGGTTCTCTAGAGGTACAGAATCAACAGGAAGTATAATTATAAAAGGAGGACTTATTAGATTGGCTTACCCAACCAGAAGCTGGATAGTCCACAATGGCGGTTGGTAGGCTGCAGAGCTGGAAGAACCAGTAGCTGAGTAGTCCAAGAGGCTGAAGCCCCAGAACAAGAGGGGTCAACGGTGCTACCCTAGTCCCAGACGGAAGATTTCTGGAGATCTGCTTCTGAAGAGTGAAGAAGCGAGTCCAGTATCCTCAAAGGATCACAGCAGCAATCAAGAACCCATCCAAGAAGAATCAGCTAGCATCTCTGCTGCTTTCTTGTTCTTCTAGTTTTTATTCCATCCAAGCCATCATCCTATCAGACGGTGCTGCCCACGCTTAGGGAGGGTCTCCATTTCAGTTGGCTATCCCACCTGCCAATCGTTCCTAGACACACCTCATTGGCACACCCAGGAGCCTCTTAATCATCGGCATATCTTAATCCAACCAAGTTGACAATTAACCATTACAGCTTCTCTCTCCCACCAAAAGCTAAAGGAGCACTGCGTCCTCAAGCTGTGTGTAGAAAGCCTTGGGAGAACTGGGTTGACTTCCAGTTTTCTTTTATCTTAACCTATTCAGACTTGAAGAAAAGGGCAGAAAGCCTAGAATGAGGGAGTGATTGTGGAGCAAAGGAACACTGATGTTTTCTGAAGCCCAGTCAGAGAAAGTGATCCCTTTGTATTTGTCTTATTCTGCATGTAGCTTTAGCAATTTTTTTTCATTCTAAATCGTCCTTAAAAAGTGAGTCTCTTGGGCTGGGTTTGTGGCTCAGTGGTGGAGCGCTTGCCTAGCATGTGTGAGGCACTGGATCCCCAGCACCACATAAACAAATTAAATAAACAAAATAAAGGTATTGTGTCCATCTACAACTAAAAAAATTTAAAAAGCAACTCTTTTTTTTTTGGAGGGGGGATGCCAGGGATTGAACTCTGGGGTGCTCCAACACTGAGCCACACCCCCAGCCCTATTTTGTGTTTTATTTAGAGACAGGCCCTCATGGAATTGCTTAAGGCCTCATTTCTGCTGAGGCTGGATTTGAACTAGCAATCCTCCTGCCTCAGCCCCTTGAGCCACTGAGATAATAGGCGTGCGCCACTACATCCAGCAAGTGAGTCTCTTTTTAATCCTCCAAAGCACTAAAGGCATGGGGGAAATGGTGGGTTTGACTATGTCAAAAGTAGGTATTTCTGTTCAACAAATGGCAGACCAAGAGGGTAGTGACTAAAATTGAAATTTTCAACAAGAAAAAGGAAATCCAAAAGAAAAATTAGCT